CAGTTCAGCAACTATCATTCATAACATAATATAATGAAAAACAGAATTATAAACTGCACATTATACTAGAATTCCCAACCAATACATCCATACTAGTTCATTTACATTATTAAAACGAAGACTAGCATATAAATCCTCCTCAATCCTTGTCGGCATGTAAATTAATATTTAATCCTCATGGCGACTATTTAATCCCCAACTATAAGTCCGAAGCATGATCTAATGATACTCAGATATAAAAACTGAACACATTTTATTTGAATGCCAAAACCACCTCCATGCTAGTCCATTTAGTTTTCTAAAGCAAGACTAGCAATTACAACTTCCACTGCTCCTGACAGCATATAATTTAGTATCTAAATTTCATGATGTCTATAACTGTAGTAGAAACCAACATTCCTGGGACCCATACATTATATATTTCATTTATATAACCTCACAAAAACAACTTTTATTTTAGTCCGTTTAATTTACTAGTACCACGCTAGAAATTAACCCTTCCACCCTCCTTAACTACATGCTTAATTAATAATTAAAAGTCATGACCTCCACTCCCATAACCTCAACCAATAATTCTAGGTCTTTTAATAGATTAAATACATCATTTTAAAACCTCTCCATTAAATTTGCTTAAACATCACGACAAGAAATTTAATTTCTTCCAAGCCGTAAACCGCATGTGAATTTAATTTTAAATCCCAAGTTGATCAAGTTCCTAACATGAATTAATCATTCATGGGTATAATTAATCATTCTTGGATATAATCCTATTTAATTACATCATTCAAATCCATCCAACCAAGTTTAAACACACACTGGAGCCCTGAAATCACAAAATTCACGTACTGGGCACTTTATAAAATTGGAGCCGCCTCCAATTTTAAGTTGAGCCGGCTCCAATTTTAAGTTGAGCCACCTCAACTCTTTGTGGAGCCGGCTCCACTTCAATGGAGCCGCCTCCATTGAAGTGTGGAGCCACCTCCATTTCCCCAGCCTCCGTTTTTCCTTCTTTACTTCCTCTGTGTTGCCTTCTTCGTGTCCGGCAAAGCCTCCACCCTCTGTCCCACCTTTTGTTAAAGATTTCTAAGGTTCAAATTAAGTCCTAACAAGCCTAGAAACTTCTTTTATTCCAGCATGAATTACCTAGCAAAAGCTTAAACCATGAACGCAACAGTTTATGTTTTCTCCGTTTATCTTCTTCGCGTCCGACGAAGTTCAACCCTCCGTTCTAGAATTTTTCTTACATTCCTAGGGTTCAATTCAAGTTCATTAAATCCTAGAAACTCCTCAAATTCTCTTGTGAAATTAATGACAAAAAATTTAAAACCAAAACACAACAGTTCATAGTTTTAAAAGCGAACAGGGGTTTAAAATTGTACAGAGACTCTATCACGCATAAACATCCATTTTAATAATTAAATTAGATTCCTGGAGACTATAGAGAATGCACAAAACACAAGTTTACAGGAAGGAGATAGAATGAAACTTGCCTTTAGATTTCATTTTGAAACCTTACAGCCGCATCGTCTCTAAGTTTCAGAATTCTCTTATACTGCTCCCACCTCTGACCATTGTTCCATTCCTCTGTTCTTCCTCCTTAGCTTCATAGATTAATACTACATGAATAATGTTTTATTTTAACCCTTGCAGACTACACAAGAATATACACCTTGAAGTGCATACAACCTTCTCAATGTATCTCTGTTTTTCCTCTTAAATTACCCTTACGTGAATAGGGTTTTCTCCCAAAAACCCTTGCAAAATATATCGTTATATATATATAGACTCCTCTGAAACCCTAATCCCAAATCCAATAATCCTAACCCTAAGTCCAGCCCAACTACAAGTCGGCTACCTAATTACTTAATCATAACACCCTAAACCTAATTATCACCCAACATGGTAATAAACAAGTGACCACAATAGTTACGTTCATTATACATATATCTGGAATAAAATTAACTAACTAATTAATTAATTACCCTTAAACATAATTAAGGAAAATAAATAAATAATTATGACTAAAAACCACATAGAACACACATAAAATTTCAAGTCAAATGAAAAACAAAATAAAACACACTTAAACAATATTAATTTAAACACACAATTAATCAAGCAATTAATTTAAACAAATACAATAAACACAACTAGTCAAATAAGTACATAAGTCACTTAGATAATCAAAATTAAATTCCCATTTTATCCTTTTGAAAACTAGGGGTATTACAGGAAAGAAGAAGAAAAAGAAAACTCCTTCTCCAAAAAGGAAACTTTTGCCGAAGTTGGTAACTTGAACCCGTTTTGGTAATCTGGCTGTATCTTTCTCCTCGAGTGTCAAAATAGCTAAATTCTCGTGTAAGTTGAAAGGAAAGAGCTACAATTTTGTATTTCACGAGGATTCGCTAAAACAGCTGTTTACCTTGTTAAAATTGGCCTGGAAGTCTGTATGAATTTTGGAGTCCTTATTTGATAGAATTTCTATGTATGTCTTCCATATAAACAAGGGAACTTTAAGGCTGATATTTTATTATTTAAAGGGAGTCCTCTACAACATTGAATCATCATACAGAGGAGCTTGAGGCTGAGATCAGAAGAGAAGCATTCAGAAGAAGTAAGGGATCAATCCATAACGGTAAAGATGTCTTCCTCAACTATGAAGAATTCCACTCCAGTCATGCTTAGCTAAACGCTTTGCTAGGGCTGTGATGTAGCCCTAGCTTAGCACACTGTTTTGATTGTATTTAATTATTGGAGAACAATTTTTATCATGCATGATTGTGTAATCTATAGGGTTTTTAATTGAATTTTTAATAAGAATCGGTTTTAGAGTGTTAATTCAATTACAAATATTTTTCTATCTTGTCTTAGATATTTTAATCTTGTGATTGAACACAATTCATTCACTTCTTGTAGTTGTGAATGAGATGATTACACAATGGTATTTCTCTGAATATAATGTTAGAGATTTGATGGATTATGCTTAGAAAAGATAGTCCATGCTACATCCTAGAGTAAAGTAGATAGGTAGATGGTTTATACGAATCGAAGATAGTCCATACTTAGTTTTAAATTATATTATTTTCTAGCAGAATTAATATGTGCTTGTAGCCATGACTAATTCCCTATGCATGTTATATGATATATCTCCAATAAATTGATGCAATTAACTGGTGGTGCGACGTTAGTGGTGAAGTCATACCCCTAGTTCTCTCTCTCTATTTTCTACATCCTATTTAATCATTGTTCTTTAGTTTATTTTATTTTTTGACTTAGTTAATTTAGAATTAATCATCACATTTCGATTATCCTACTTTTAAGTTAATTTAGAATTTAAGAAATCTATTGACAAACTTATTTTACACAAGTCTCTTGGGTAGGACACCCTTACAAGTAAACCCTATCTGCAAAGACTCGTGCACTTGCAAGTGGTGCATATAAATCTCACAACAAGTTTTTGGCGCCGTTGCCAGGGATTTGTTTTAGTTCTTGACAGATAATATTAAATTCTATAATTAATTTCAACTAGGATCCTAGTTTAGGATTTAAATTTAATTTAATTTAATTAATTAATTTATTTATTTTGATACTATTTTCTTTTAATTATTGTAGGTGATATAATATGCTTGGAAGACGTTCTTTGTCACTCCCTCAGCTTTCGTTAGACCCAAAAATCGAAAGGACTCTCAAAAACTTGAAGAAAGATTTTGGAGGCCTTAAAAAGGAAAAAATGGGGGATGATCCACCAGCAGCAGAAGTAGTTCCCTGTTTAAAGGATCACTAGTTAATATCGAGATGCTATTACTTGTTTTGCTCAAGGCCTGATGAGCCTTTTCATGAGGCTTGGGAAAGATTCAGAGACCTCCTTCGAAAGTGTCTTCATTATGACATGCCAAAATGGCAGCTTGTCAAATTCTTTCATAAGGGGCTTAATGAGGCACAAAGGTATATGGTGGATGCCTCTTGTGGTGGAAATTTTGTGTTAAAGATTGTAGAAGAAGCATGACAGCTTTTTGAAAATATATCTGATAATTCTACACAACATGTCTTACCTTCAGTAGCAAGTCCTCATACCATATTGAGGAGAGCAAAAAGTGTGAATGAAGCAGGAATAAATCAAGGGCTAGCTGAGCCAAATTGAGGCATTAACCAAGAGGGTGGATCAATTGATGACTGCATAGTCAAATTTTATTCCTCCTTCAACTAGTGCTCAAGGCTTTGAAGTGTGCTTTTTATGTTCCAGTCCAACTCACCATGTGTCCATTTGTCCAAGTGCAGCTTAGTATTCAAAAATTCCACAAGAATAAGTTAATGCTACCTATGGAAAGACCGGAGGGAATAATATGTATTCAAACACTTATAATCCGGCTTGGAGAAACCATTCAAACTTCTCATGAACAAATCAAGCCACAGGGACATTAGTTCCTCCACCTCAAGTAGCTCAGGTGCAAGGTAATTTTTAATCTCCATATCAGACTTCAAATCCTCAAGGGTTCACTCCTATGAATGCCTTTAGTCAACCTCAATAATTCTTATCAATGCTCGAGGCAATGATGGCAAAGCATTTAGAGCCAACTAATCAACTTGTGTAGTCTCATTCTCAATCCCTTGCCAAGTTAGAGACTCAAGTTGGCCAACTAGCTCAAGCCTTGAATAGAAGAGAAGATGGTAAGCTTCCTAGTCAACCAGCAGCTAATCCAAGAGGTGTGCATATAATTGATGACATTACTGGCCAAGAAGTCCACCATGAACAAGTGCAAGCAATTACTACTCTGAGAAGTGGTAAAAGAGTTGAAAATAAGGCGGAAGAAAATGAAGCAAAGAAGGATGAAAATTAGAAGAAAAGACTTAGAGAGAAAAATGAGCGTAATGAAAAAGCACAAGAAGTACCTCCAACTATTGAGCTATCTCCAAAACAAAGGCATGCTGTTGTGCCATTCCCTCAGAGACTTCAAGAAACATCAAAAGCAGCAAAGCAAGCAAGCAAACTTTAGGACATAATGGAGATGTTCAAACAGGTGAAGATTAATCTTCCATTACTTGATGCAATTCAACAAATCCCAGCTTACGCTAAATTTCTGAAAGATATGTGTACTCAGAAAAGGTGTTCAAGTAGCTATGTTCCTAAGAATGTGTTATTAACTGAGTAAGTCAGTTCCATAATGTAGCACTGCATTGCTCTAAAATTCAAAGATCCAGGCGCTCCAACAATTTCATGCACAATAGGGAATCATCAAGTAGAGCGAGATCTCCCAGATTTGGGTGCAAGTGTAAACCTTCTTTCTTATTCGGTTTACTTGCAACTCAGATTAAGAGAATTAAAGTCTACTTCCATTATTCTCCAATTGGCAGATAGGTCAACCAAACAGCCTCGTGGTGTTATTGAAGATGTGATCATCAAAGTAGGTAAATTCTACTTCCCAGTGGACTTTATTGTGCTCGATACCGAGCCAGTTCCGAAGCCAAAAAGGCACATTCCAGTGATCCTTGGTCGTCATTTCCTTGCAACAGCAAATGTAAGCATAAATTGTAGGGCAGGCGTCATGGACGTATCTTTTGGCAATATGAAGGTGTGCTTAAATATTTTCAATGCTAGTCAATGCCCTTCAGATAATAATGATTTTTTTCTAGTCGATGCCATCAATGAATGTGTTGAGAAGATGACCCCATTTGCATTGACAAAAGATCCACTGGAAGCATGCCTATCTTACTTTGATGCCGAGTCATTTGATGTTGAGAAAAGTATTAAAGAGGTGAATGCCCTACTTAATATGGCGAGTATGCACAACATTCCACCATGGAAGATTCCTATTGAGCCACTTCCACAATTGTCAAGTAAACCACCTATACCATCTTTGGAGTCTCCACCAGAGCTAGAGTTGAAGCAGTTGCCCTCTCATCTGAAGTATGCTTTTCTTGGGCCAGAAAGTACTCTTCTAGTAATTATTTCAGTAGAGCTATCAGACATCCAAGAGGAGAAATTATTAGAAGTACTAGCCAACCATCGAGAAGCTATTGGCTGAAGTGTGGCTGACCTCAAAGGGATTGATCCCTCGGTATGTATGCATCGGATTTTCTTAGAAGATGACTCCAAGCCTTCACGAGAAGCACAGAACCGGTTAAATCCAAATATGAAAGAGGTGGTAAAAAAGGAAGTAGTCAAGTTACTTGATGTAGGCATTATTTACCCGATTTCAGACAGTAAGTGGGTAAGCCCGATTCAAGTGGTTCCAAATAAATCGAGGATCACTGTGGTGAAAAATTCTGAAGGTACTTTACTTCGCCAACGCACTACTACAGGTTCGTGATTGTGTAGAGATTATCGCAAATTGAATTCGAAGACATGGAAGGATCACTTTCCTCTCCCCTTTATTGATCAAATATTGGAGAAATTGGCAGGGAAGAGTTTTTTATTGCTTCTTGGATGGATATTCTGGGTATTATCAAGTTGCCATTCATCCAGACGATCAGGAGAAGACAACTTTCACTTGTCCATATGGTACTTTTGCCTACTGTCGTATGCCTTTCAAACTCTATAATGCACCAGCCACTTTTTAGAGATACATGATGGCTATTTTCTTTGATATAATTGAAAACTTTTTAGAAGTCTTCATGGATGACTTCTTGACGTTTGGGTCTTCATTCAATAATTGCCTGGAGAATTTAGTGCCTATTTTTCAACGATGTAAAGAGAAGAATCTAATCTTAAGTTAGGAGAAAAGTCACTTCATGGTGCAAGAAGGAATTGTCCTTGGCCATATAATATCCAAGAGAGGAATTGAAGTGGACAAAGCTAAGGTCGATCCTCTCTCTAATCTTCCTCCCCCATCATCGGTGAGACAAGTGCGATCATTCCTCGGCCATATACGATTTTACCGACGTTTTATCAAAGACTTCATTAAACTCGTAAGGCCCTTATGCAATTTATTGGGCAAAGATGTTCCTTTTCACTTTGATGAAAAGTGTCTAAACGCATTTGAGCAACTTCGCTCTTTACTGTCCTCTGCACCTATTATATAGGCTCCAGATTGGTCTCTTCCGTTTGAAATTATATGTGAGACTATGCAGTGGGCAACGTCTTGGGTTAGAGAATGGAGAAATTGGCAAGAGTAATTTACTATGCAAGCAAGATCTTAACAGAGGCATAATTAAACTATACCACCACTGAAAAGGAATTATTTGTAGTGGTCTTTTCTTTGGACAAGTTTCACTCTTATTTATTAGGTTCCAAAGTTATTGTGCTTTCTGATCATGCAGCTATTCAACATTTGCTCAACAAAAATGATACCAAGCCAATGTTGATTAGGTGGATTCTATTGCTACAAGAATTCGACCTAGAAATTAAAGACAAGAAGGGTTCAGAAAATGTGGTGGCAGACCACTTATCCAGAATTTTGGTAGATTCATCTTGCACTCTTCTATTACATGGTTTATTCTCGGATGAGCAGTTATTTCAACTTCAGAAGGAGAATCTACCATGGTATGCTGATATTGTGAACTGGAAGGCATTCAGAAGAATTCCGTCTAATTAGACCAAACATGATAAAGACAAATTCTTCTCTCAAGTGAAATTTTATCATTGGGAGGATCCACAGTTATATAAGTACTGCTTGGACCAAATTATTCGTCCTTGTGTGCTAGATAATGAAATTCCAAGCCTTCTGAAGTTTTGTCACACACTAGCTTGTGGTGTCCATTTCAGTGGAAAGAAGACAGTAGTAAAGATCCTTCAGAGTGGTCTAACTTGGCCTTCCTTGTTCAAAAACACTCATAAGTTTGCTAAGGCCTGTGATTGATGTCAACGGTTGGGCACCATTACAAAAAGAGACACGATGCCTCTCTCCCCAATTCTGGTTATTCAAATTTTTGATGTATGGGGAATTGATTTCATGGGGCCATTCCCGATGTCATATGGTAAGGAGTATATTTTGGTAGGGGTGGATTACGTCTCCAAGTGGGTAGAAGCAGTGGCAACACCAACTAATGATCACAAGGTGGTGGTTAAATTTCTTCAAAGCAATATTTTCAGTCAGTTCAGAATGCCAAGGGCAGTAATCAGCGATGGTGGAAAATTTTTTTGTAATCGCTTACTTCGAGCCTTATTTCAGAAATATTCCATCTCTCACAAGGTAGATACTTCTTACCACCCTTAGACAAGCGGTCAAGTAGAGATTTCAAATCACAAGATTAAACATATCCTTGAGAAGATGGTTCGACCGAATCGAAAGGATTGGTCATTACGCCTCAATGATGCCTTATGGGCGTATCGCACTGCATTCAAGACACCAATTGGGATGTGCCATATAGCTTGGTCTTCGGGAAAGCATGTCATTTACCTATAGAATTGGAGCATAAAGCTTTTTGGACTGTGAAAAAATTAAACTTCGACATGAGTCAAGCCGGGGCCAAAAGGAAATTGCAACTAAGTGAATTAGAAAAACATCGCAATGATGCTTACGAAAGCGCAAGAATTTACAAAGCTAGAACCAAGGCATTTTATGATAAGCACATTGTGAGGAAAAATTTCGAGCCAGGTAACAAAGTCTGGTTGTTCAACTTTGTAATACCCCTAATTTTAAAATGATAGTCTCGGTATTTTCTTATATGGTTTTATTGTAATTTTACATTCTTTATGTGTTTATTTGGCTAATTGTTTTAATTGTTGTTAATTAATTGAGTTATTTGTATGAATTATTTTATTTAATGAAATTAGTTGTTTTAATTGTTTAATGGTTTAATTTGATTATTTGTTTTCTTTAATTATTTGGTTTCTTTAATGTCCGCTTATGTGGAATTTAATTGGTTATTTACATTAATTGTTAAATTAGGATCAGTTTTTGGTAAAATGTAGTATATAATTCTAGGGTTTTATATTTTCACGAGTTAGCCGACTTGTATTTTCTTTTTCCTTATCCAAGTATAATTAAAATTAGGTTAATTAGCATTGCCTAGATATATAATTGTATAAGTCTGTCAAGGGTTTTAGAACCCTAATCACGTAACAGTGGAGGCGACAAGATACAGAGAGGTCTAAGAGAAAACAAAGAGAGGGACACTTAGGGTTTAGCTAAGACTAAGGCTACGCCAAGGAGAGAATGAAAGGGTGTTGCTCGTAGGTTGAACCAAGGGGCAACAGAGGAGATAGAGCGGTGAAGGATTGCCAGAAAAGCTAGGAAGACGACGCCGAGATTTTATTCTGAATCTCCAAGGCAAGTTATATTTCCAGCTCTTCCCTTTGAATTGTGTTCTATGCATGCCTAAGTAGTCTCCAAGACTTAAATGGATAGTAAAATTTATCTAATTAGCATACTTGAATTTAATGGAATTGAATTGAATTAAAACTGCTTTTTCGGTTGGTTTATGTTCTTGATTTAATCTAGATTTTTCTTGAATATAAACTTGTTTTGATTCATGTTAGTGATGCAAAATTACTTCTTATAATTAATTAGGACAATATGGGACTTAGAACAGTGGGTTAGGAACTTTAACAAGGGTAATTGGAAAGTCAGGAAGTAGCCTGAGTTGGAAAAGATGGAGTTTGCAGGAGTGGAGGCGGCTTCTTTAGTAAAGAAGCGGCTCCTTTTGTAAAGAGCCTGCTCTACTTAGCAAAGTGCTTGCTCTACTTAACAAAGAGGCAGCTCCTTGAGGAAGGAGGCGGCTCTTTCCTTGTGTGATGAGTTTTAACGTGGTTTTGGGTTTTCAGGGGATCCAGTGTGATTTTGAACTTGTATAGATGGTTTTAAATGATTTAATTAAGCATGATAATACTCAAGAATGATTAGTCCATGCTAGGAATTTGAACATCATGAGATTTAAAATTAAATTTGCATGTTGTTAATGGCTTGGAAGGATTTAAATTGCTTGCCGTTATGTTAGCAAATTAAATGGATGGATATAAATTTACTCTTGTAAATTATAGTATAGTATACTCAGTAAATGTCTGATTTTTCTTATTATACTCTACTTTGGATTTTAATTGATGAACTACTTTATCTGTTTTATCAATTATTGGATTTGTTTTATAGATTATATGCACCGGTATGAGACGGTGGCATATAGGGTACGGATCAGATCAAAACGCTAATTCCTACCTATGCTAGATTTTAATTTTTGAACTGCTTTTATCTATTTTATCAATTATTGAGTTGTTCTATGGATTATATGCACCGGTACGGGACGGTGGCATACTAGGTATGGATTAGATCAAAACGCTAACTCCTACCTATTCTGGATTAAGGAAATGGATTTAATTAAAATATTTAAATCCTAATTATATGTCATGTCTTGGCAATGAACAGTTGACCGGCACTACATTGGTTTTAGATGGAATTTATATATATAATTATGGTACCGCGATATGAGCTTGAGTCGATGGTTAGGGCGAGTATATGCAATAGGATGCATAGTTGGCTATGATAGATTGAGGTATACCCTATTAGGCTTAGGTACTCATGCCCACCTCAGGTGCGTTTTGCATATTGTCTTCTATCTAGGTTGCCTTAGTGTGGATGTATATATATATTTATGGACTAGATAGTTATTGTCGAGTTATCTAGAATGTATCTGCGTATCGGGTCTCTATTTGGATTATAGTTAGAGTAGAACTAGTTTGTGGGCCTGACCCACTGTTATTTTTCAGGTATCGAACGGTTCCAATCTTAGAGCTTGTTCGTGCTGAGCACAGACGGTCACTTATTATTTCGACTACGTAGGACTGCTATTTATATTTAGTTTTGGATTTTCTTTTTAGTTCAGCTTATCTCTAGTTGGGATGTTTATTAGGGGTTCACTAGATGGATTCCCGAGTTGTACTAATATTGGAGGATTATATAATTAATATTTCGAGGTTTTATTAATTAGAATTATTTTCAGCTTATTTATTTATTTATTTATTTTTAAATTCTTTTTGTATTCTGTGTTCATTTAAATATTAATTGTTTGGTATCCCTCGAATCTGTGCTCGGACATGATCATCCGTGGCTCTAGAATCGAGGGGTATCACAGTTGGTATCAGAGCACTCCA